CACTCTTAGCATGATTGTGTAGGAATACGTCCAGAAAATGTGATATTGGTACAATAAATTGCACGATAAGCACATGGAAGGCTAACCCGGAAACAACTCAAGCGCTAAAAACGATTTTTGCGCAGAACGATGCCAGAATTTCAGTTCTGCGCATAGCAATATGCGTTAATACAGTACGTGTTGAATTCTGGGTAAAACCTCGTACCGTGTACTGCATTGTATCAGCCAATCAGAGTACAGCTGATTATTTTGTAGCCAATCACTTTCTTTGATGAGCCTTATGTACTGCATTGTATTAGCCAATCAAAGTATAGCTGATTATTTTGTGGCCAATCACCTTCCTTGATGAGCCTCATGTACTGCATTGTATTAGCCAATCAGAGAGAGCTGATTATTTTGTAGCCAATCACCTTCCTTGATGAGCCTCATGTACTGCATTGTATCAGCCAATCAGAGTACAGCTGATTATTTTGTAGCCAATCACTTTCTTTGATGAGCCTTATGTACTGCATTGTATTAGCCAATCAGAATATAGCTGATTATTTTGTGGCCAATCACTTTCCTTGATAAGCCTCACGTTTGAAACAATGTGATAAGATGTAATAAGATGAATTGTAGCTGATTCGTCATAAACTGTATTGTAATGTATTTCAGGGTCTTGTTCTAATGATCTGATACAATTTGTGAATAATGAATATTCAAAAGAAAATAAGAGCAACCAATTACAAAGCTACATTTGGAAAGAACCGATAGCCGCCAAACATCAGACGGTTTATAAGATATTAAAACACAGGGTTCTGAATAACAACCATGACATGTCTTCTATTGGACAACAATTATATGAAACAGCTTCATCTAAGTTGGTAAGAATATAAGGTTATTACGAGAATACCTCAAAGTATGCACAAAGATAGTACAGCGGGAGTATCGACTGACACGCAGCGGAGGTCGATGCGATGGTGTACTGTCTGAGTGCATACTTTGAGGTACCTTCGTAATAACCTTATTATTATACATCTTTTCCTTCTAAGGATACATTATTGAAATGCAAAAATTAAAAAAGTTTAGAATAGAATCAGCGAACTTCTTTGTGTGGAGTACGGTCAAACCCTGGTTACGCTTATGCGCATAATCATTCCATATTTGGAATTCACATTTCCTTATATGGTAGGATGAAAATACCCCGTAAAATACCGCAAAATTATGGCGTTATGGTGACAGATGTATAATAATATTCAATAATATCACATATAAATATATCGACTTGTACATCTGTTTACAGAGCTGAGAGTTGCACTGTATACTGAATATAAGGGTGTTGTGTCTATCTAAGTTGCAATGTGTATACTGACTGTAGTGCAGGGCATAGTTATCTTCATCTTACTATTTCCTTTATAATGAAGAGAAACTTTAACGAGAAACTTCCAATCTTTATGGAATTAAATTATCATGTGCAGTAACTGTTTTGTGGGTGTAAATAGTTCTATGATTGGTGTGGACTCACTGTATGGCAGTCAATGGGTATTCCCTGGAAGATCACAACAGTTAGCTACACAGTTAAACATACTATGTCTAACTTTGGTTATTCTAGACATTCGGAATAAATCAACTAAAAAACATGGTGGCCGTATTAAAACAAGCCAGCTGCTATGGTTACCACAAAGCTTCATACATGTTGTCAGTTTTGTACAATAACGGTGTAGGACAGAAAATTGACAAAAATAAGGTGAGTGATGTGTCTGTTTGTTATTTAGTTATTCCACATGAATATGCTCACATGTGCAATAATCACTTTAGCATTAACCGACTCAGGACTAACCCTTAGCACTAGAGAACCTACAGTCATATCAATTGGAGTTAATATTGTATTGTCTTGTCCTGATTTTCTAGGTTTTTTTTTATTTTTCAGAGTGGTTTATACTTGTTGATTTCATCACATGGTGAATATAGAGTTTCATTGATGGCTGCAGGCAACAAGCATTTCTATGGATTAGATGGATGCAACCAAGATAACGATTATTCATTTTGTAAGTACTTTATTGACTTTGACGCTGCAAGTACTGAGTGTGTGTTTGTCAGTTCCATTGAGTGAATACTTTTTTTTAAATCAGATCTATGTTATTTTCATAATTATGGTGACATTCATCATTGTTTGTTCTTTTATAAAACTGGTTATTTTAGAAAAAATTCATGAAAATTAATTTGCATAATAATAACAACAAGCTCATTCGGTCATATTTAACTGGTTCCAAGTTTTTTTAAGATTTTTGAATTGTTATAATGATCTTTATTTACTAATGAAAGGTCACTAACCCATAATGTATCACGTAAAGTAAATATTAAAGATAATTACGGTCATTGGTAGCATAGTGGTTGTCGCACCAGACTCATGATCGGTAGACCAAAGTTTAAATTCTACCTTTGGCTGAACATCAAAGGGTTGACCCCTCCCCTGGGTGAGTGTGCCACAGACTCAATGGAGGCCAATTCCACTGATTGCGATTCATTCACGAATGAGACTTTGGGTCCGCAGGTGCTTGTGTTTCGACCGAGTCTGGTTGACGCCAGGATAGTGCATTAAACTGCTATTTGATAGGGAGATGGCTGCACAGCCCTGTAATGTAGTCCCAAACATGATTATGCCCCATGTGTCAGCACTAGCACTTGCAATTTGCACATACTAAAAAAGAGTCAGGAGAGACAACAGTGACACTCAATGTCCAGAACTGTCGCCTGGCACAAAAACATTAAAAAACAAAACAAAAAAAATGATAATTTATTTTATTTATTTTAGTGTATAATAGACATGAGCAGCCGGTCAATGAAAATCTCAAAGTTTTGAAAACATAGTAATTCTATTTTGTCAAAAAATAGTGGGACATAATACAAATCTGGAAAGTACATAGTGGAAAAATTATGGGATAAAAGGACACAAAAAAAAATGAACTTCAATTTCAATTTTTTCTCTGGTTAAATTCACTGATCTTTTTTCCATAGTGTCCCTGTTGCTCTCAATGCAAAGCCAATATAATGAATAGTAATACTATACAAAGGATGTGACATGAATTATGTCTGATATTATGTTACGATGGTCCATGAAGTATCAAGTATAAATATTTCTTTTGTATGTCCCCAAGGGATGCATTATTCTTTACGATTTCTGCTGTTTGATATTGTAGATATGTATTTAAACAATTTATTTAGGATAAATGATTTATATATATTCAGTAGCATAACTTATTCTTCATCTTCTTCTTCGTTCTTGTTGCTCCCACCAGAACATAAGGTTAACACAAGATCCCTCCATTCGCACGGTTTTTAGCCTTGGTTTCTGCCTCTACCCATGTTAAACCCATTTGCCTGAGTTCTTGCTCAATGGTCTGAGTCTTCTAAGCCTTATTTGTGAAATGATGCAGGTGGCTCCAGTTCTTTTGAGTAGGTCCGAGGTGGATATTCGGCAGGGCCAGAAAACTTTGCAGCTTAACTTATTGATTATTATGAAATTATCCCCAAAAGGGTGCGGATTGAGTAACAATGGAAGTAATTTGCATATTTCCCATGAGACTTAGCACTGAGAAGACAGTTTTGGTCAGAGAAGCATCTCTTCTCTTCACCCCTCTGAATCATTCAGTCCAGGATTGGTTTAAATTTGTGGATGTTCCTGTTCTATTTAATTGATTTTGAGTTTTTTCAATATCTGCTATGTGACCTGTTCTTATTGTAACATTATTTTTTGATTATGGCAATACAATAATTTTGATTTGAGTTTAAAGCAGTGACTCTCTTGTATTACTAAAAATGACAAAATATTTATTGTTTGTTGTAGTGTACTATAAAAATATAGCAGATAAAACTATGCAAGACAGAGAAAGACATGACCCAACAGGGGTAAGTACTAATACCAGTGTTATCATCAACTTCTGCATGTTTTTGGTCAGTTTATAATGAGCCACTTTTATAGTGAGAATTACACAATGGAATATACACAGTGGAAGTAATTTTAGCATTGTTACAATGACTTTTATGATGTTATAACACTTGTATTTGTGTACAGACTTTTACAGAACATGTTCGACTTACAGACAGTAAGGTATTAGAAACACAGCGAGGAGAGACAGGTGATTATTTCCTATGGTTGAAACACCAAGCTAAGAAAGGTGTCAGTGATGCGCAGGTGACTACAATTCCTCTTAAATTCATTAATGCTGTGAATAAAGTGACTGTTTTCACTGATATATCTCATGATTTTTTAAAATAAGTATTCTGAATCTAAACATGTACTCTTCTAAATCTTAATGAAGGAAGGAATGATTCAGTGAAAATAAAATCCAGCAAACATACCTTTTTTCTTATATTTCACATTCAACTTGTCAAAAATCAGTGAAAATAAATTCCATACAAAACACCAAAGAAATACTAGTATTATCTTGGTAATTGCATGTTTTTATCCTTGCATGTTAGATAAATATTGCTAGAATGTTATTTTGGGGACAACAAGGTGTAGATAGAAATATGGAGGCTGCTGTACACTTCTATCAGATATCGGCCGAAGCCGAAGATGCCACGGCTGTGTCTCTTTATGATTATGGTGTTATTTTAATAAGGGTAAGTTTATTAATGCATGTAATAATGACCTTACATTAATTGGACCAGGAACAAATAATTATTTTTTTTTAAATGCCTGACTTGTTAAAAGATTAATTGAAATTAGTGAATGAATTGTTGGAGTAAGTTTTTGTCGTGGAGGTAATTTTGAATGAAAACTTGTGAAACATGGAAACAAAACACAAAAACTAGTTTTACTTGTTGTCAATAGCATCTGAAGGTGAGTATTTTCTGTCAGTTGGTTGAAATCCTGGTGAAATGATTGTCTTGGTCCAACTAATGAAAGGAAAACAAAATTATATTTTTTAAATGGTGATACTAATTGCTGATTGGTTGTCTTAAAGAGTGCCGTAGCACGTCATTTATTCTGGGGTTCACATGGTATCGAGCGTAATATGAAGCAAGCAGCCAAGTATTACAAAACTACAGTAGAAATGCACCCTGTGAGTAAGGTAGCATTGTATGACTATGGAGTCATATTAATGAGGGTATGTAAATAAAAAAATTTCACATTTCATAAATTTGATGTCAAAAGTGCATTGACCAATCAAATTGCAGGGATTAGTATTATATACTATATAGGGATATTGAATATTGTCATTTGAGCAACTGTGGTATCTGTTTTTGTTTAAACTGCACCAATGACAGCACTCTGTCTCAGAATACAACAGACTGGCAACGCCTATCGTTTAAGGTGTTAATTGGCTTAGTTGTATATGCTATGTGTGCCACACTCAGTAGTATTGACATATACACCGTTGAAGTTTACCGAACACCGAATATTCTGCACACTTCACGCTTCTTCGGAAATTGTGTATTTCTTCATAAACGGATCCGGACATTTTAAAAAAAAAATGGGAGATGTGTTCTGGACATTTTGACCTTTGCTGCTGTGTAAGAATTTCAAGAATCGACCAAAATTTAGGCGAGTTACAAGGAACTGAATGTCTTAGTACATGCCTCAAATAGTTTTTTTAATATATAATGAGCAACTTTGAAACGATATTTCTCGCTGTTGCAGATTTTGTGGAAGATTTCCGACATTTTTTGGGAAGGGCATATTGCTGTGTTTCGAGCAATCATACCACTTTGTACGTGTGTTAACAGTTTTGTTTTTATGTTCAGGGGTGCCGAAACATGGGATAGCTTGTGTTATATACATGATATCTCTCAGCGTATCAGTGTAAGCCGGTTATCGGTAAAAACTGGGGGGGGGGTGTTATTTTTGTCATGTTCGACTTCATAGCTATAGAAATGTGACAGCTTGCACTTACAATAGGCTAGGGTAGTGTTTAGGCAGGTGTTCTTTGAAGAGTAGTGTTTGGGTAGGTTTTCTGGTAGCTATCTTCTGTTTAGTATGTGTTTAGCAAAAGTTAATGTTTGGGTTGGTGTTCATTGACTAGTGTTCAGCATATGTTTAGTGAGGCTTAGTAAATGTAATTATAAGTAAATGTTCATTATTAGTATGTGTTTAGTAACTGTGTAGGTGTTCATTGACTTGTATTAGGTATGTGTTTAGCAAAAGTATGGGTAGGTGTTTATTGACTATTATTAAGTATATGTTTAATAAAGATTAGTGTTTGGTTAGGTGTTTATTGACTAGTGTTTAGTATGTGTTCTGCAAAGATCAGTGTTTAGGTAGATGTGCAATAACATGTTAACATTCTTGATTTGCTTTGAAATTATTGTCTGATTTCTCTCACATTTCAAATTCACTGAGGTTGATCAAGAAACAAAATTCCATTATTAATAAAATGAAATAAATCTTTCAAATATTAATTTATATTTGCAGGGTCAAGGAATAGAAAAGAACATTCATAAAGGTTTAGAAAACCTGAACAAATCAGCAGAACTGGTGAGTATTGGTCTATTCCGTTCTCAAAAGTATAGTATTTTGGTTAAAACACTGTCTGCTGAATATTACTGACCAAATCATCATCTTAATACATATTATTATTATACATGTGTCACCGTAACGCCATAAGTTCCAGCATACCATAATTTTGTATTTCCCATCCTACCATATAAGGAAATGTGAACTCCAAATATGGAATGATTGCATGTGT